CGACCCGCAGATTGCGAGTCGAGTGCCCTAACCACCTGGCCATGCCGGGCCCGAAAGGTAATTCGTAAATATATTTTCATTTCAAGCGTATAGATAATAACATATTTATCACTAATTTCGTGCAACTTTCGTTTAAAAGCTGACGGAACTGGGTCGATCTTTATCTCAAGCATAAAAAATAGTTGAAAACTGGTATGAAAAAATGTTTTAGAAAAAAAGAAAAAAACTGTTGCATTGTTTTTGTGTTACATAAACACCTATAAACAAAGCTATCAAACAAATAAAGAAGAATCAGTGAAGAAACTTAAACAAGGTGTTTCTGTACATATGACACAAACAAAAAATTAGTTTAAAATAATTTTGAACAGTTTAGATCTTAAAAAGTTGCGCCAGAATTCTTGGGTTGATTATGAAAAAAAAGAAAAAGAATAAAAAAACACGTACACTCACAAATTCGCCGTTTTGAATTTCTGTCAAGATTTAGGAAAATATTTAAATAACTGAAGTGAAATAGTCTTCACGTGACACAATACAATATGAACATCACAGCAATGCTCGAAACAGTAGTGTTAAAACAACGATTTATTTTGTTGGCGGGTTCTTTTGAATTATCCATGTAACGATAACGAAAGAGTTTTACAAATCATTTCACGAACTAACGGTAGGATTAATTTCCAAAATAAAGCTAAACATCTACTTAATTGCTACTTTTACTTGTAGCCGGCATGGCCAGGTGGTTAGGGCGCTCGACTCGCAATCTGATAGTCGCGGGTTCGAAACACGCTCCCCCTTTCAGCCGTTGGGGCATTATAATGTGACGGTCAATACCACAGTTCGTTGATAAAAGAGTAGCCCAAGAGTTGGCGGTGGGTGGGGATGACTAACTGCCTTCCCTTTAGTCTTACAGTGCTAAATTAGGGACGGCTAGCGCAGATAGCCCTCGTGTAGCTTTGCGCGAATTTCAAAACAAACCAAACTTTTCTTGTATGTGTGGTACTTCTGGTATCTCTACGACTTCTTTGAAACAGAAATATTCACGAAATTGAAGAAACAGACAAATTTAATAACGCATTTGATAACTAAATAATTAATCCAACACCGTAACTGATTCATCTATAACCAACAATTTATCTTAGTCTCGCCTAATTCGCGTTTCATATCGTTTCCTACACTTTGAAGATAGTACTAGTCATGAAGCCAAGTGTTGATCATGTGACGTAAAAATTCTCTGCAGCAAAAACAAAAAGTTTAAATATAAAAAAAAGGTCTACTACACTACGCATTCTCTGGATTATAAAGTGTCATTAACAATCTTATTACACAAATAATACAATGGTACAGTAGACTTAATTAACAATAAAATAATTTTTAACATTTAACAATATTAAAATTAATAGATACAGAGGCTACAACCATTAACTAAAGATAAGAAATAAGCTGAAATCAAAATTTTATTTAGCAAAAAAATATTCTTTATTTATTCATTTACTACTGAAAAACTGCACACTCACCAAATCTTTTTGGTGGTGTTCTTTCTTTGGTTTTTGGTACGAAGAAAGAATGACCTCTTGCCCTACTTTAGCACTTTTTGTCTTGTCATTGAGGGGGTTCTCTTCAAGTTGAGGAATTTTGCTGGTGGCTCCATCCATGGTTATATTCTGGAACTGGATCCTCAATAAGAACCTCGGTCTCTTCATCAGATTGATTTACCTTTGTCGAAACCTTCTTTGAAATTAAACAGTTGGCTATTCTCTCATTAGAAATGACTGAGTATTTCTCATTGTAGTGAATGTGGTTTGATTTGTTTTGAATTTCGCGCAAAGCTAATCGAGGGCTATCTGCGCTAGCCGTCCCTAATTTAGTAGTGAAAGACTATTGGGAAGGAATCTAGTCAACACCACCCACCGCCAACTCTTGCGTTACTCTTTTACCAACGAACTGTGGTATTTACCGTCTCATTATAACGTTTCATGGCTGAAAGGGCGAGAATATTCTGTGACGGGGATTCGAACTCGTGACCCACAGATTGCGAGTCGACCGCACTAACCACCAGGTCATGCCAGACCTTCTCAGTTTGGAAGAAGCATCTGTAATTGAAATTTCTATCCAATTGTATCTTCCCACTTTCGCAATAACAAGCCTTTTTGTAGGGATGAAGAATCCTACTGTGCCTAGTATATGTTTGTTTTGGGGTGTATTATACCACTGTGTGTCAAGAAGGCCATACTCCACTATACCTGACCCACTGAATAATTAGTTGAATACCCATATCTTTGCCTATGCATCTTTCAACTAAGTTTTAGACCACAATAGCTGATCATAATCTATGGATGTGTCATCTTATTCTGTTCTGTTGCAGTTTAGGTTGGTTGTCTTTATTATCTTGCGCTTTCCTCTTTTCACAACGTTTGTTCTATCATATCTCAGTCACTAGATCCAAAGTTGTTCTTAATACGTCCTAGAATGGGAATGATGCTTCTTGCTGGTATAATAATAACCCTTCCTGCTCTATCATATCCCAGTCACTAGATCCATAGTTGTTGTTAATGCGTCCTAGAATGAGAATGTTGCTTCTTGGTGGTATAATAATAACCCTTCCTGCTCTATCATATCCCAGTCACTAGATCCAGAGTTGTTCTTAATACGTTCTAGAATGAAAATGTTGCTTCTTGGTGGTATAATAATAACCCTTCCTGTTCTATCATATCCCAGTCACTAGATCCATAGTTGTTGTTAATGCGTCCTAGAATGAGAATGTTGCTTCTGGGTGGTATAATAATAACCCTTCCTGTTCTATCATATCCCAGCCACTAGATCCATAGTTGTTGTTAATGCGTCCTAGAATGAGAATGTTGCTTCTGGGTGGTATAATAATAACCCTTCCTGCTCTATCATATCCCAGCCACTAGATCCATAGTTGTTGTTAATGCGTCCTAGAATGAGAATGTTGCTTCTGGGTGGTATAATAATAACCCT